GCGGTCATCTTATTCACTTCCTCTCTCCTCCTCTTCTTCTCCCTCTTCATTCTCARCTTCCATGCTAACTTTTGCTCGTCTTCCCTCTCTCTTCGTTCCATCGGGTCCGTCATGGCTGCTAACTCAGCGGCCAGTGCAGCCTTCTCATCCTTAGTCACATATGACTCTGCCTCCTCGTCTTCCCCCAACGATAAATTAGCGACCCACTCGCTGATCTTCTTCTCCAGCTTAGTATCTGTCTCCCACTTCATCGTACCACCACTACTTCCTTCCCCACTCTCAATTCTCATTCTCTCTTTCTCTTCTTCTGCGACCGCTTCTGCTTCAGCAGCCTTCCTTCTTTCTTCCTCCTCCTGTTGTACCCTCTTCATCTCCTCCTCCAATCTCTTCACCTTCGCCGCCTGCTCGTCTGCGATAGCCTTTAGCTTGGCTTGCTTTTCACGCTCTTTCCTCTCCTTACTCTCTCTGACTAAGGCGGCCATCTTTTTTTGTTGCTCAGTGGTGTAGGGGCTAGTCTCCTTTCCACTACGGGTCTCAACCATAGTGATAAGTGTACAACCGGGTTAGTGATTCCAAACCTCACCACGTAGACGTCAACCCCTCACTGACAGACCTACTGACTCAATCTAAGACTCACAGAATCCTGACAGGGATCCTGTCAACTATGGTCTCTAGCCTAGACCTACACTATGGCTGTCACTACTGAACCAGTGGCTGATCAGGAGGCATTTAAGGAGATCCCCCGTAACTCCTCAATAATTCTTTAACGTCGCAGACAGGACGACGTGATCAGCTTGGCTCTGCCTGTGCTTTCAGCCCACAACTCATCCTTTCCGGCCTACTGTGCCACACCGAGCAGCCCGCCGGTCTGTACCGGTCCTTGGGAGGGTTCGTATCCCCCGGGACAGTCGAGTCRTCMGACAYRGATCATCAGCCTTACTTGGTCTGGTAGGGGAGTGGTTCCAACAGGCCCTCAACACTTAAAGACGGCCTCCATTTCAGCCTGCAGCTCAGAGTTCGGACCCTCTACACTGAAACTGAGCAGACCTGCCGGACAGTACCGGTCATTGGGCTAGACGAGTTGTTTAACGAGCGCTCGCCGCTCATGCCCAGGTCTCCAGATACCAGAGTAGAGATTAGTCTTACTAAGTCTCGTGCAGGTTTGGCAGCAAGGCCCTATCCTTCATCCACAGAGTTCTATGACCTAGGACAGAAGAGACTCCATGCAGAAAGAATAGACAGATAGACTGTACTCAGCAAGTACCAAGGGGTATGTGCACATCCATAGGGCAAGGGGTAGGCTAAGGGCTTGGCGAGATGTTACCAACTTCAGCTTGGTCAAAGTCTTGGTCAACGCCTTGGTCAACGCCTTGGTCAACGCCGGTCAACGCTGCTATAACCCTCGGTCAACTTCGGTCAACTCAGGTCAAGGCCTCCGGTCAACCCTCTCGGTCAACTCCCCGGTCAGCTATGGCTGCCGGCACTTCTTCCTCGCCAATCCCCTTCTTCTTCCCTACCTCCCTCGCCGCCTTTCCCCCGCTGTCTTCTTCTTTCCTCT